GGTCTCAGACCAGCCTCAGCCACAGTGGTCAGTGGGCACTGTTCTCTGGCCTGGTGCCAGCTGCTGACCTGGGTAAGCCCAGGAGACCAGGCTGGACCAGCTTCCTGGAACTGGCACAGCCTGCTGGCCACTTCCTTTTTATCTCAGGGCCCATGTGAGAGCTCTGGGTCAAATGATACTTGTTGGCCTGGCAACTCAGCCCCTCCCGGGCAGTTTCCGACAGCCGGGCCCCACCTGTGTGAGAAGCACTGCTCATAGGTCTCAGACTGCCTTTGCCCCAAGGATTGGCCCTTTTTATCAAGGACCCTAAAACCTGTGTAGAAAGCACCACCCCGATGGGGAAGCAGAGAGAGTGGAGTATCTCAAGTCAGACTGGTGGGTGGAGACCCCCCAGAATACATCCTGCTCAGGGTCAGGGAGAGTTCCAGAGGCGTTATCCAACAGTGTCCCAAGAAATAACAGATCGAGGGGAGGAGCCACTGTGTCATCGAGCTTGTGCCCAGCCAGTGTCCTCGGCTCTTGTGGTCCTTGGGGGATGTGCTGCCCTGCGGTCTGCAGATGACTGATCAGAACCGAACCACCCAAACAGGCCAGCACTGGAGTTGGACCTCACTGCTGAGGCCAGGGGGTGAGAGCAGGAGGCCCAGCCGAGGGGTCTTCCTTCACTGGGCAGCACTTCCAGCCTTTGAGGCATCCCCGACATGAGGATGGGGGTAGGAGCAGAGCCACCACAGGAGGAGGAGGGCAGGAGCCCCTCAGCAGAGGAATGGTGACTACAGCACAGCCCTAGGATTCCGCCCTTTGCTGAGCTGGAGCTGGGTGCCCCTGTGGCCCGCTAGGTGGGTTATGTTACAGCAGGACAGGAAGGGACAGACCGGAGGAGGATTGGAATGAGCCAGCGCATACAGCCCAGACCTGTCTTCTCGCCAAGGGGCCTTGGGCTTTATCTCCTTTGCCCCAGCTGTCAGGAGCCAGCCATGTTTATCTGGGGGTGCTAGCTCAGAGAGCCCTGGAGAGGGCTGGCTTCTAGCCACAGTGCCCTCCTGATAGCCACCCACCTTTACTAGAATCAGGGGTTGGTGGCCTGTGCCCTGGTGTATCCCATTCTCTCCCTCACTGCAGCACAAGTACTTTCTCCTAATCCCCCTTCCTGGAGGGGCTGCGAGTTAGTATTCATGGTGACAACAGCAGCAAACCCATCTTGCCGCTCTGCACACCCGGAACCTTCCAGTGTGGCCATGAGCCCCCATCCTGCAGGTGTGGAAACTAAGGCTCAGAGGAGCCAGGCATCTTGTCCAGGTGGTGGAGTTTAAAGCAGGGAAGCTGGGCTGCAATCCAGCCATCGGCTCCTCCGGGGGCTACTTTTGTTAAAGACACTGAGTCCTGGTAGATTCGCCTATTTACCTAAGATTATATTTCATTTAGGAAATTTTACAAAGGAACACTATGAGAACAATAAAGTACTTGTTTACTCATCAGCCAAAGTCAATGAAAAGTAAAATTTCATCATGTGTTTTGGTTCTTTTTACAAAGAAACAAATATTATAAAGTTCCCTTTGTTCCGTGATCCGGTCCCTTCCCCTTCCAGATTGAGGTTGCCTGCTCACAATCTGGACATTTTTAATGTCCTGAGCTGGTACTGCATTTGTGGGGAGAGCTTCAGTGCAGAGGGGCTCTGACACCTGCTGGGCAGGGCTCAGCACATTTTGGCCGGGAACAGCTGGGTTGGATCTGGAATGGACTGGTGTGTGCCCTTTGGTACCAATGGAGGGGCTTTGGGGTGTGAGAGGAGGGACCTCTGTCCCACCCTAGTGACAACTAAGGCCCCCTCAGTGTCAGTGACCACCACAGTATAACAGCCCACGGGCTGGGGGCTCAGGGGTAGCTTCAGAGCCTTCATCTGTGAAATGCAGAGCTGCCCCTGCTCACCACCGAGTGGAGAGACCCCAAATGGGGTGAGTCGAGCAGAGGTGACAGCCCAGCTGGCTGCACTTGGTGTGGCAGTGCTGCTCTGGTTTCTGGAACCAGGTCCAAGTGCCCGCTGGGAAGAGAGGAAGAGAGGACCAGCTTGTCTGGGGGCTGGCGGCAGCGGAAGAGCCACCTCAGGTTGCAGAGGGCTTGGCCACACCTTCCCCGTCTACGTCAGCCCGGCTTCCCCAGCGTGAGTGGAGGAGTGATGCAATCTGCCAGCCTCTTGCTGCAGCCAGCGGCCGGAAGGCTGTGTCCGCTTTGGGAGGAAGAGCCTGAGGCACTTAGTTCAGGATTGTCTCTCACATAAGGAAATGGCAGGCCGTCTCAGGAAAGCCTTGGGGCTCCGGGGGCAAGAAGGAACAGATAAGAACCTGGGCTTGCCCTCCAAGGCCCCTCTATCCTGGATCCCAGCCACGGGGCAGGTTGGACCCTAGAACACTAGACTGGAAGCCCAGAAAAAGGGGATTACCCTTCTCTCCCCACCCACACTGTCAGTCTTGTGGGCCCCAGAGACCCGGGTCTCAGTCCTGGGTCTCCCCATACCACCTTGGACAGGGGGTTTCTATGAACCTCTGTTTCCTCTTCTGTGCTTGGAATGGCAGTGCTGACATGCATGCTTAACACAGGACAGCTCTCTCCCCGTTGTTCCTGAGGGCCAGGACTGAGCATGTGTCCACCCCAGAGCCACACAGTAAAGGCCACGGGTGCTGTTTGCCTCACGCACCCATCAGCCCTCTCCTCGGAGCCTTTCCGCTCCTGCTGCAAGAGGTGGCTTCGGCACTGTGTCATAGACACTTTTGTCACGAGCCCCACATTGTCATGGCCCTATTTAAACTCCCACCACCCCAAGGCACCTCATCGCACTATGAGCCTGACAGGTGAGGAACCACAACCCAGGAGCCAGGGGGCCCCACCAGGGTCCCCACCAGTAACGCCACACCCGGTCCAGGTGTAACAACTCTCGGCTGTCAAACCCGGTACAGGGGGTCTTCTGAGTATTTCAGATTAGGAATAGCAGCCTAAAGCAAATACTTTCAAAACATTTTTAGCCTAAACATAACATACAGTCTCTGTCAGCCATTGCATCAGCCAGGGTTTAGAGCAGGGAAGGAAAAACGAGGGGGAGGGGTTGCTATTAAGCTCAGTTAATTTCCAAGAGAAAAGGCAGGCAGAGCAGTGAGGCCTTAATCCTATCCAGAGCACACTGGGAAGATGGCCTGTTTTCCTTCTACCTGAACTGGTGGGTCTCATCCAGTTAATTAGCGTGGATTTATCTCTTTGGGGCCTAATCCTCAAATAGTAAAGCGACCTGTAATTACTCTAGCTGGGGAAAGATGCCACCTGGAGTCCCCTGCCCCGGGTTGGTTCTGTCTGGAAAAGACAGGATGAGCAAAAGGCCTTTCCAGCCTTTCTTACCTTACCGAAGCCTTCTGAGGAGGGGACGAGTATGCGGGGAACGGGGGAGAGAGGCCCTTCCCATAGGCCCTGGCCACGCTGGTTAATGTTTAATGACCAGCCCTCCAAGGAGAAAAGGCCCCCGTCTGTGCCCCTGCCAGTGCCTAGTGTAGATGCTCCCCAGGTGGCTGGTTTCTAGCACTTGTGTGCGGGGACCTGGGATGAGAGCGTGACATGCTCACCTGAGAGTGTGGCACCTCAGCAGCATAGAGACCGAAGAGCGTAGATGAGTTAGAAATGGGAAGGGATCCGTCTTGAGTGTTCATTTCCTTTGTTTTAAATTTGATAATTTTGATTCATTGTAAGTTTGCGGAGTGGCTGTGCTAACAGCCAGCTCTCGAGATCCCTAAACACTTAGTGTCAGCTCCTGAGCTTGCGTATCATCTCAGCCTCCACCTCTCCCTCGGCGCAGGGCCGGGGTCTTACAGGCGCCCAGGGAGCCCCTGCTTCAGGCACATTTCTTGAGCCTGGCTTAGCTGCTGCCCTGTCTCAGCCTCTGTCCCCACTGAGGTTTCAAGGTACTCTGTTAAAACCACAGTAGAGCTAAAGCTCCTGTGTTGTTTCCTGTACCAGCTAGGCTGCTTGCTGACCCCAGGGCTGTGGCACCCCCATTTCAGGTGTCAGAATTGCCCTCATGGTCCACCATTTGGCTTGTCACATGGGATTTGTGTGATAGGATACCTCACCTGTTAACTCTGGCATTCTAGAAGATTTTCTCTGAAAAAAAGGGTTTCCCACCTTTAAGAAGTTTAGTAGACTGTGAGTGAACCTGATGAATTATGCTAAATGTTGAGCGGGTGGAGAAAAGTGAATGCAGTCCCCCTCCAAATGGCAGGTTTGCTATTTACCTGCATTCAAGATAGTGCCCAACTCAAGGCTTGACTCAGGTGTGTGGAAGGTGGGGGAGAGGAGGAAAGGTAGTTGCTTTGATTGTCAGTTCCTTAGGACATTGAAATTCATTTTTAAAAATCCTTTGGGATAGCCCAGGGGCACCTGGGACCACATCTCAAGAGCCTGTAGTTCTCAACCTTTGACCTTGAGCCTGGAGAGCTGTCCATCCAAACAAGTCCCAGAGGGTGAGACCTCACCAAAGGGTCTGGGTTCCTGCTCGGCCTGCCCGTCTCGAGTGCTGACTGTCTGTCCAGTAGGACTCACTCTGCCCTGTCTCCACAGTGCTGCTCACGGCCGTGAACTGTTACAGCGTGAAGGCTGCCACCCGGGTCCAGGACGCCTTCGCTGCCGCCAAACTCCTGGCACTGGCCTTGATCATCCTGCTGGGCTTCATCCAGATCGGAAAGGGTGAGTGTGGCCTCTGGGCCTCACAGCGGTCCTGTGAGGCTCTGCTGTGCCAGGGTGGAGGGGTCCCCCGCTCTGAGTGCCCCCGGACCCACCAGGTTCTCCGACACATCCCCTGCTCTGCACCCTCACCCTTAAATGGTGGCGAAGGGGCGAAGGGGGCGTGGGGGGGGCGTGGTCCACTGCTCTGAATGCCCCCAACCCTCAGGTCTGGCACATGGCATGAAGGGGATCATTTGAATTGGGCACTGTGAGCTGGGTCACACCATCCCAGGAGGGGCACTGACATTGAGTTAGAGAGACTGAGCATAACCCAACAAGTTAAATCTGTCCCAGAGCGGCAGGGAGAAACCAATTCACCGTCCTCTGAACCCCACTCTCCTATCCACAGTCGGGGGTGGGGAGGGTTAGGATAGTGTCATGGGTGCCTAGCACATTGTGAGTGTGGCAGAGAGGAGCTACTGCTAGTTTTGTCTCTTGAGGTAGATCACACAGGAAGCTACACAGACTGCAGGTGCCCGACAGGTAAGCTGTAGCTGCCTCCCCAGGGAGGATGTAGAACTGCCTAGTTCCCAGTAGGGCCCTCGTGCCCTTGGATGCCCCCACCCACCAGCATCCACCAAGCTGACCTCTCCCCTGTGATCAGCACTTTGTTCCATCACGTGTGGGTTGCCCATGCCGTGGCGTTTGGTGGCAGTGCATCTCTCACTATTGGGCCTCATTCCTCAAAAACATGCTATGACTTGCTTATCACTCTATGGGCAAGGATGTTTCAGCTCAGGACTATGGGAAGTACTGTCAGGAGCATTCCTGTGTCTTGGTGAACAGAATTACTTACCGGTTTCTCTGGGGTGGGCAGTGGCTGTCGTCTTGTCATAGCCCATCCTCTCTCACACTTTGAAGCTGGCTAGCTGTGAATTGTATGACTGGAAAACCCTTAAAGGCCCCGTTATCTGTGTTCTCAGGGCTTCTGCCTGTGACACCCAGAAACCCATCCTTGTAGTTCTGGACTTTCCTCCCCCCTACTGGCCACATGGGGCACTGCACTGCACAGGAATCCAGGGTCCAGAGACCATGTGCAAATTGCATGCTCATGATTCAGGAGAATTGGGTGCACGTGGAGCTGCAGTGGCTGCCACATTACCCCTTACTCGTCCTCTCTCGGGGTAGAGAGAAGCTCACAGTTCTAGTATATGCTGACCTAGTAAAGTCGAAGCAAGAATCCAGCTCATTCAGGTAGACCATCTTTATTAAATACGTTAATATATGCGAAGCCTTTAGCATGGCACCTGGTACCTAGTAAGAACCAGCTCCCATAGCTACAATCGTTATCATCCTTGAAGGGAAAATTCCACCTGGTTCGCAGTCATTCTATGGTTTGCAGGTCACTGCTTCAGAAGCCGGACCTCTAGGGAGCATGCGTCTGACCATTGATGTCCAGCCTCCCAGGAAGTCCTTAGGACAACCTGTGGGTGAGCTCACCAGGCAGAGCTGGGATGAGCCAGAATCTGCTGCTGCTGCTCTGGGCGCTCCCCCTGTGAGAGCCCTCCTGGGGCTTCAGGTTCCGGCATCTTCCTAAAGACATTTCTTACCCTCTAATTTTGGGGGTCTCAAGGACCCTGGCCAGGGCTGAGTAACTCCCCAGCGTCCTGGAGAGTGGTTAGGACTGATGTGTGGAAGAAAAATCCATCCTGCACCCACCACTTTGTCCAGCGAGGAGATGGGTCATTTGATAGAAGCCTTGCTTGTGAAGGCATTTACTTGGCTGGTATGAATGATTAAATACAGACAGAGGAGGAATGTGGGGGGAACCTGACTTTTGTAAAAACAAATTTCAGTGGAGAGAGCAAAGAGCTTTTGTTCAGCCTGAATACATAATGTGTTTATAATTCTGTTGCTGTTGTAAACATCCACCCGCCACCACGCGCCCGAAGCAGTTCCTTTCTGAACTCGGGATACAGTGCAAGGTCTGCAAAATTCCTGTCCTGTTTTCCTTGAAGAGATTTACTTTGTTCCCAGAGGAATGCCTTCCTTTCCAGAGGACACATTGTTGAAACTGGTGACCCCTTTCTCCCACATTTGTCTGACTCTGTTTCCCCCTCGGGCAGTGACCCAATCCCCGTGCTGATGGGAGGAGGGCTGAATCATTCTGGCAGGGAGGGACTCGGCTCCCTGGGCTCAGATTGGCTGCTGGCCACCCTGCACCTGAAGAGTGCGACCTGTTGTCTGGCCGACCTGGCCGACTGGCCTAGGCACTCTCTCCTCACTCCCCTCAGCAATAAAGCAGTCTTCCTCCTTGGCCTGCCTGGCACCCATGTGGGCCCGGAGCTGCAGAAGGGGCTCATGCATGGGGCCCAGCCCACCCAGGTTCAAGTCCAGCTGACTGTTTGGTAGTCTCAGGCCTCTGTTGGCCTTGTTTCCTCATGGCCATAGACCCGTGAGCCGTCCTGCCCACCTTCTTCACCAGAACCTTCTGTGTGTGGCTCTGTGCAGAGACCCAATGAGGACACGGCCCAACCATTCAAAGCTCACTCTGCTCAAGGACATCAGACACACGAGAGCAGGAAAGCGGCAGGCGGGCTGATGGGGATGGAGAGGAGGCTCTCCGGAGAGTGTGGCGGATGAAGGCACAGAGTGTAACAAAGAGACTGCTCTTTGGCCCGGGGCTGAGATCTTGGATGTGGGAGGAGCTCGGACTACCCCTGTGGCTAGAGTTGGGACCCCATGGTGCTGGTTAAGCCACCGGGCCTGGGCCTGTGTGCGCCATCTAAGGTGTCTGGATTCACTCCCAGCCTTTTCAGAAGGGGAAACAGCTCAGGTGGGCATTTCAGGTCCACGGGCTGGAGCAGCTGGAGCAGGAAGTGTGCGTGGGAGGGGCTTGGAATGGGAAGGCCACAGAGAGAAGCAGGTGGACAGGGTAGGCAGCGGGCACTTTTCAGCTCAGGACATACCTGCCAGCCGCCTCCACCTGCTTTTGCCCTTTTTCTTTTGTCTGTCAGCCTCTTACCGATGACACCCTACAAGGTCCACAGCCCTGAGATCAGGCCATTCCCAAAGCGGAGCAGTTTTTCCAAGGCTGGAGGGTGAGAGTGGAGTGCGGAAGGCTCACCCCTCATGCCCAGGTCCCTTCTGGAGGACACACAATGGGGCCCTTGTGGGTTTGCTCAAGCTGTGGCATCCGGTGGGAGAACAACTCGTGTCTCCTTGAGCAGTTACACAACAGATTGCATAATTGTGCAGATAAAAGGTTCCACAGAAACGCCGCCTTCCCCTCCCACGTTGTGTCTGAGCAGGATGCCCTCTGCTAGGAAGTGACGGGAGGAGACCTGTCTTCTTCACCAGGGCCTGGCCCTCCAGCCTCCCCGGCAGCTCACAGGAGCTCGCCCAGCCACTAGGACATTGTCCCCAAGGGCTGGGAGACCTGGTGTGGTTAGCACCAGGAATGGAGGCACTTAGATCCGAGGAAGCACAGGAGATGCTGCTGGCTGGGAGCAGCCTTGCAGTAGGGAAGGCCCAGGCAGGCCTGTGAATGACAGCGTGCTCCCAGGGCTAGAGACTGGTCTTTGAGTCATTTTACAGTTTGCATTTGGATCTTAGGTTATTGGGTCGGGGCTCAGAGAAGTGGTGGCCTGTCCAGTCCCACAGCAGTGTCAGCAACCCCACGTGGCCCGTATTGGTGGGAACCGTGTGCAGGGATGTGAGCTCCCTCTGGAGAAGGCCCCCTCTGTCCCACCCAAGAGCGCGGTGTGGGGCTTCACAGGGCAGGTGGTGGGAAAGGCCCGCGCAAAGAGGCCAGGCTGGGAGGGTCTGGGGACACCCCCCCTTGGGCAGGTCCCTTTGTTTACTGGAGCCTCAGTTTCTTAATCTGAAATGACAACACTAGCAACAGCAGCCCCCAGCACACCTGGCACCATCTCTTGCTGTTACGAAATGTTTCGAGGCACCTCAGTGGCCAGTGAAGGGCTGTCCTCCCTTGCAGAGAGGAGATCGCATAGCAAGTGCTCCCGGGTCCCACCAGTGACAGAATCCATCGGGGATCAAGGTCACTCTGAGACCGTGGACACTGTAACAGCGGTGGGGCGAAGGGCTGGGGTTCTGTTCTCTGTGCCAGTCCCTGTGCCCCAGGAGACAGGGATGGTGCCTCAAGGCCCCTCCCCACCATGGGCCAGGCTGCCCCTCTGAAATGCCCACAGTGGAGGTCAGATGGTAGATATGGGAGCCCCACCACCACCTCCTGCCTCCGTGAGAGCACTTGTGGCCGTGAAGCCACGATAGAGGGAGGGTTGGTTGCTTTTCCTGTGGGTGTTCTTTGATAATTTTTAACTGACTCCTTCCATGGGGCCTGCACGGCCCGTGCTAATTTGGCATCCCGAATCATAACAGATTTGCAGTCACATGCTTTGTGTGCCGCCCTCTGGGATGAAATCAAAGGCCTGGAAGTTGGGCTGTTTCCCACTGCCACCCTCAGCTCACTGCGCCCTCGGCGGTCAGCTGCACGGACAGAGCAGTGAGGGCCAGAGCTGCGGCAAGAATGGGGGTGCAGCCACAAAGCCCTTTGCTAGCACGGTTCTCAGGCGTCTCCAGGACCCTCAGAAGAGGGTTCTTTCCCATTGGGATTTGAAGCTTGAAGCTGATCCTGAGGCCAAGCAGCTGGCTCCACCAAGTGTTTAAAAGACTGCACCACGGATGGGCGGTGGCCTCGGCGAATGAGCTGTCCTCCCCTCGGCCGCCCCAAACCCAGATCCACTGCTCCCAGACGTCAGGCTGAGCCAAAGTAGAGCAGGCACGGGACCCAGTCACTCAGCCCAGGGTGGGGAGACAGATGGGAAAACGGGGAGCTCCAGTGAGCCGGCCAGGGGGCGTGGCCCCCCAAGGGTGCGGGTATCTGTGCTTTCTCCCTGAGCCTTCTGAGGGCACACAGCTGTCTAACCAGATGGGACTCGGGCGCCACAGCCCCCGGTGTGGTCAGCCCACTTTACAGAGCGTGACCCTGAGGCCAAGCA